GTTGCTTCTGCTCCTAGGAAAAAGATCTTAGAAGGAATCCTATTCCCCTATTTGCAGCAAAAGACAGGCTATCTAGACATATTTATTGAAGGACAACATTAAGGTGGTGCTACTCAATGGGCCTCTTTTTGAGCATGACTATTGAGTAGCACCACGTTTGCTATTGTCCTAGGAGAATGTTTTGGAATTCCTGTGGTTTGCTGTTGTCCAATGGAAGACATTTTGGAATTCTTCCGAGACAGAAGGCTGAAACGTAGGACATGGTCTGGAAAAGCAGGACATCTGGTCACCCTGGGTTGTGTAGAAGAGGAAACTTCAGCAGGTATCACTTGGTATGCAATGAGGTAACAGGCAACACCTGCTGAAATTCCCTCTTCTATACAACCATTACAGGTACAAAAACCCTTTGAGTTTTCACTCTGGAAACCCTACTTTTGTATTTAACAATCATACTTGGTGATGAGGAATTCTATGCAGAACATTGAGTGGAGGAGTGGAGTAAATAAAGATGGCACACTTTCTCCTTTCTTGCTAAGCAAGCTGGCTTCCATACTAGCCACAGAAGATGGAAATTGCCCATGGCACCATTGCTGGGCAGCTTCTCAGCTTTTGTTTGTCCTCTCCACACCATCTTGAAAGGCTAAAATGTCTCTCTTGTTGTATGCAAAGGGATCTTGTAGCACTTTTGAGACTAAGGGGGGTTGCAGACTGCCAGAAATAGTGCAAATTGAGTCCACATTTAGGGTTAGGGTTAGTGCTAGGGAGTCATGGGAATTGTTTTTTTTCTGAGACATTGAGCCTTCTCTGTCAGAGAGCTCTGGTGCCACAATAAAATACAGTTCCCATGACTCCCTAACCCTAAAAGTGGACTCAATTTGCACTATTTCTGGCAGTCTGCAACCCGAAAGAGAGAAGTTGGTAGCATGAACTTTCTGAGACTTGAGCCTACTTCCTCAGATAAGAAAGCTCATGCTATACACTCCTCTCAATTTGTTTCAAAGGTGATACAAGATCTCTCTACATACTGATTTTCGTCTTTGAATTCTCTTTGACCATATATTCCTGCATGGCAAGGGGTTGGACTGGACGACCCTTGTGATCTCTTCCAACTCTGATTCTATTATTGTCTCCTAAGGCTGAAGAGCAGTAAACTAAAATTTGTTGCTGTGATTTGCCACCAAGTTAGCTTTGACCAAATGTGATCCTATGACTAAAGGCCCCCAAGAACCCCAGTCATTAACAGCCCTGCTCAGATCTTGCAAATTGAGGGCCGTGGCTTCTTTGAATGAGTCTAGCCATCTGTAACATGGCCTCCAACTTTATTGAAAACACTGATATGTTTGGTCCCACTCTTTTGCCTTTGATCCTTCTCATCATTGGAATGTGTTCCCTACAGACTTCTCTGAAAATGAATTCGGGCCCTAGTGTGAATGAGCTCCCTCACCTTTGCTTTAATTACCTTTCGGTCAGCTTCTGACTACTTTCCACCTTGCTTTCATCAATCACCCTAAACATCTACGGTAGTAGGTTGCCTACGAGAGCACGTGCCACTTTGTAATAGTAAAAAAAAAAAGCTTTTTAATTGTTGATTTCAATATGCCATCTAATATATTCTTTTATAGACCTTTGAATTGGCTAGCAAGGGCCAAAACACATTTTCAGGAAGAAAAATACCTGTGTTCGCCCATGAAAAAAGACTTACACATAACCTTTACTCGCCTCCTCTTTGAGCAAATGGATCCAAGGATGCTACAAGGATGATATCAGGGCACCCTTGTACATGACAAGCTTCGTATATGTGAGGCTTCCAAAGTTGAAAATCTAGCACATTATTTATTGCATTGTCAGTTTTATGCTCGTATCAGAGAGCATTATTTAACCCCATTCTTGGGAACCTGGGGGTGAGAGGGATGATGGGAGCAAACTGACTTTGTTTGTGATTCATAGGCTGCCCTTTTTGCTGTCAAAGCAGCTACCCTGAGGAAGTAAGAAGTAGAAAAAGGATTAGCCTATTTTTTTTTCTCACAAAGAGGGATTGAATGATCTTTTTATGATCATTTATTTTAACTGTATATAAAAACTGTATATATTTTATTATTTTAGCTGTTTACTTGCTTTTGCCATTTTGAAATGGCAGATTGCGTGGCAGAGGGGCAGGATATAAATTATTATTATTATTATTATTATTATTATTATTATTATTATTATTGAAATGGTCTGGAGACTTGTTCAATAAAGAATATTTTGACTTTGCTATTCTTTTATAATAAAGAAAAATATTTTATTTCTTTCATATAATGCAAGCTTCAGTATTAAAAGGAAGGTAGGAAACTTTGTTGTTGTGTAGACAACAATGAGGAAAGGATACAGAAGCAAAAGCCAAACAGTGGATAAAGTTTCCTTTGTTGCTGTTGTGTGCCTTCAAGTAGCTTCCAACTTATGGCAACCCCAAGGAGAACTTATCACAGGGTTTTCTTGACAAGATTTCAGAGGCAAGGTTTGCCTTTGCCTTCCCCTGAGGCTGAGAGAGTATGACTTGTGACCCAGTAGGCTTCCATGGCTGAGAAGGGATTCAAACCCTGGCCTCCAGTCGTAGTCCTATGCTGAAACCACTACACCACACTGGCTGGCTGTCCTCTAACATAGAGCAGGTGTGGTATAGTGGTTTGAACACTGGACTAGAGATCAGGGATTCAAATCCCCACTTAGCCATGGAAACCCACTGGATGACCTTGAGCAAGTCACATTCTCTCAGCTTCAGAGGAAAGCAAAGGCAACCCTTCTGAACAAATCTTGCCAGGAAAACCCTATGATAGGTTCAGCTTAGTTCACTGTAAGTTGGAAATGACTTGAAGGCACACAACAACAAAGGAAAGTTTGTCTAGCTTTTGCTTCTGTAACCTTTCCTCATTCCTCTGCCAGCTTTGACTTCAGCAAAAGGTGAGAGAGCTGGACTGAAAAGTGAGAGGAAAAGAGGAACATAAATGACAGAAAGAGATTAAAATGTAACCACACAATGTTCAGAGTTCTTAAAAGGGCTGCAGGTTTGAGTCCACAGCATTGCTCTTTAAATGAGTTTGTTTGCGTGTGTGTGTTTTATGCATGGAAAAACGGACAGAGTGCCATTCAAAAATGCTAAAAATTACAGTCACCTTTACATACTTTCCACGTTACAAAAGTTCATAAGCTATTTGAGCAGCTTCTGAATAGGTACCTCTGCTTTCCAGTACAATATTTTATTCAGGGCCAAATTTGCTTTATAAGCATCTTATTTTATAATTCATGATAAACCACAACTTGGTTTAAAATATTAACGACTGAAGGAATGAAGGTATTTAATTCAGCCCTCTGTCCAGAATCATATGCTGAAGGAATTGCTAAATATCAATGGGACATATAAAAACACTTAAGGTGGGTAGGTTGCTTCATTCGACATGTACCATTCCCAAGGTCTATGAGCCACCTATGCTTATAACCTCATATCCAGGAACTGGACATGCCTATCCTAGCTAGCCCTGCTGGGGATAGCTACCTCTGCATTTGAGGTAGGAACTGAACATGGCTACCTCTGCCTTGACCATAATTCACCATAATTCGTTGTGCTATTTTTCAGATGTGTGACCAGGGCTGCATCTGCACTGCAGAATTAATGCAGTCTGTAATTCCCAGGATTCCATAGGATGGCATCAAGAGAGTTAAAGTAGTGTCAAACTGCATTAATTCTTCAGTGTGGCAATAACCCATGTGGTGAGATATCAGCAATGCTTTCCTCCTGGCCAGGTCATATCAATGTAAATCAAGGCAATGTATTATAAAATCAATTTTAACTATTAAAAAAATTACCAGTAAAACAGCAACAGTCATTTAAACAGGAGAGCCAGCATGGTGTAGTGGTTTGAGTTAGACTACAACCCTGGAGATCAGGGTTCGATTCCCCGCTTGCACATACAAACCCACTGGGTGATCTTGGGCAAGTCACACTCTCTCGGTCTCAAAGGATAGCAATGGCACCTCCTCTGAAGAAACTTGCCAAGAAAACCCTATGACGTAGGGTCGCAATAAGTAAAAAAAAATGACTTGGAGGACACAACAACAACATTTAAATAGGCTTTAAAAATTAAACAATCTGTCATGTTAAAATAAAACGGTCATTTGAGGATCTTAGATGGAGGCCAGGGCCTACCACAGACATTTAAAACAATTCGAACACACATTTTTGACATCAACACTGTGAAGCAATGGCTTCCTAATTTATTTACTTGGAATATTTGTAGGTTGCTCCCCCTACCACACACTCAAAGAAGCTTGCATTTGACAGCATAATGCCACCACATAAAGCATTATCTTCTTATGAGTAGTAAGTCTTCTTACCACTCTAATGGGGGAAGCAGACGGGAGCTTCCCGTGTGCCGCGGGTCAGAGCGCCAGCGGAGCTCGGCCTCCGCACCGCGGCGCACCTCCGGTGAATCTAAAAGGAGCTCCAAATTGGCGCTCCTTTTAGATTTCAGGGAAAGTGCGCCCTAAAAGCGGCGGGCGCACTTTCCCTGACTCAAATGCCACGGTGCGTGCGGTCGCCGTGGCGTGAGGTCATCCCCGGAGCGCCGGCCGTGCGAACGGCCGGCGACTCCGAGGGCGACCTCAGGAAGAGGAAGGGGCGCCGCTTGTGCGGCTGCCCCTCCTCTTCTGGGCCCGGAAGACGGCTCTATTAGCCGTCTGCCGAGGCCCTTACTGCCTTTAAAAAGGCAGTAAAGACAGATCTCTTCCGGCAGGCCTTCCCGGAATAACCGCCTGGCTTGAAATATTGATATATTGAATATTGATATTGATATGTTGATATCAATATTGATATTGATATGTTGACATATTGTAATGTTAATACTGTGATATTGTGAAGATGTTCTGCTGTATTGTATTTTATCTCGGCTGTTTTAATTTTATGATGGTTTAATTCACTTTTAAGGGGTGGGTGGGTAAGAGGTGGGAGGTAGAAATTGTTTTACTTGTTGTATTTTTAATTCTGTTGTACACCACCCCGATTGCCGAGCAGAGGGGCAGGTTCTAAATAAAATTTATTATTATTATTAAGACCACAGGAAAATAGTTGTTTAATTAAAGATAATAAAATAAAGAATTCATAAAATCAACATAACATAAGCAAGTTTTCTTTTCCAAAATATGTTAATGCGTAGAGAGGATCATTCCTAAGCCTTGGGGGAAGAAGTTATTCCATAATTTGGGAGTTCCTGCTCTGGCCTGCTCCTATTTTAATCTGATTGTAGGAGCACCACAATGGCCCTACTGTCAGGAAGAATGAGGCAGTTGCCTCAGGCAGCAGATGTTGTGGGCAGCAATGACCTTTCCTTTGAACTCCATACCTGTTCCCTTTCATTGAAGGACACAGAATTTGTCCTAAATTAGTCAACTATTTCAGATTACCGGTAGGTAAAACACATGAAGGATCAGTGTTCTGCCAGTGCAATCAGAGTCCGTACATGGGATGAGGAGAGAAGATCATCTTATCTTTTGCCTTTGGCAGCAAGATGTCTTGGGCCAGTCCTGCTGACAACAGAAAAAACGTCTGAACTACAAACTGCAAGCAGATGCATAATTGGATGTAAGGAAGAATTCGTAGGCCTCAGCCTGTGAAAGGCTTTAAAGGTTATCACGCAAAACAGATATGCTGTACAGGGGATTCAGGGAGTTATAGTCCAGAAGGTAGCCTTTCTGAACTTTGATATCAACACCTTAGTTTGGGACTGGAAAAAAAGACAGCTATGTGGGTATTTAGGATTTAATGTTGTGTTATGTGACTTCAAGTTATTTCCAATTTATGGCAATCCTAATGCAAACCTATCATGGGTTTTCTTGACATGCTTTGTTTAGGAAGGTTGCCTTTGCCTTCCTCTGAGGCTGAGAGAATGTTGCTCAAGGTCAAGTGGGTTTCCATGGCTGAGTGGGGATTTGAACCCTAGTTTACAGTTGTAGTCCAACGCTCAAATCACTATGCCATACTGGCTCTACATTAAAGGCCAGACATTCAGCATGGTGTAGTGATTTGTGTGTTCGACTAGAACTCTGGAAGCCATCTGTAACATCTCGCCTGATGAAGAAGCCCATGGGGTTTCGAAAGCTTGCAACATGTATATTGTGCATTTTGGTTGGCCAATAAAGTTATCACTGATGGATTTTTGTTTGAATTTGCTAAATGGCCAACCCAGCTACCCCTGAATGTTTTCTGGGAACCAGGGTCCAAGCCATTATGCCATGCTGGCTACCTTTGGAATTTATTACCTCAAGTGAAAAAGGAACTACTTACCTGTGGAGATGCTGTTGATAGTCAGGCATTGGCTTTCCTAAAGCATCCTTCTCCTGGATTTTTCTTTGCAGATACCATCTCTCAATACCTTTGGGGCCAACCCACCTGTGGCAATCTTTGCTTTTTTTTGGTTGAAAAGATCCCATATGATTTGGATAGGCCATCGTCTCTTGCTGGAATGGAGGGAAACATGGATTGAACCTGAGTTTTCTTTCCTTCCTTCCTGAGGTGTCCAGTGCCAACCTCTTCCTTTCCATTCACTGACCCCCATTTTCAATTCATCTTCATCAAAACAGCCCCTCACTTTATACTGATCTATGACTAACCTTATGAAGTCTGATTACAGGATCTGATCTGCAAGACTGCAATATCAAGCTTCTTGAGGCCTCTTGTTTAGGTGTGTCTCCATGGCACTCCTGCCTTTATGAATGCAAGAATTCAGGCTCAGAGCTACTTCCCTGTAATATGGGACAAAGAGTATGAAGATGAACACTGATCCACTGGTGCGCTATAACTTACACAGACAGAGTTGCATTTTATTCCAATATGTCTCAGAATTAAAAATAAATCCCCGGAAGGGTGGAGGAATAAAGTTATGCAGTTAGTGTGGGGATCTGCCAGAAAATAGTCTGGAACAACAGAAATGTTATTTGGATCATTAAAAAACAAACAAACAAACCTGACAGCAGCTATCTGAACTACAGCAACAAATGCTGCAACAGCCCAAAACATTTCTCCAATCTGGAAGAACCCTAAGGCCTTGAATCCCATTGTGGGAGAATGACAGGATATAAATCCTTGAAATAAATGAAAATAAATAAATAAATAAGACTGAAATCCTATGAATGCATATTGGGGGAATAAGATCCACCATATTCCCTAGGGCTTATTTCTTAGTAAATAAGTAAGCCATGTAGCCACATGGTTGCAATATGATATATGCTTACAGAAAGGAAATAACATTGAACTTCATGGGATTTATTTCGATTCGTATTTGTATATGTATATGTTTATGTGACAGCCAGTGTGGTAACTGAATGTATGTATGTATGTATGTATGTATGTGACTTCCAGTAACTTGTTGACTTATGGCAATCACATTAATTTCTTAGGGTTTTCTTAGGCAAGGAATACTCAGAGGTGGTTTTGTCAATTCTCTCCTCTGAAATATAGCCTGCACCACCTGGTAGTTGTTGGCAGTCACCCATCCAAATACTAACCAGGGCTGACTCTGATGAGCTTCCCAGATTAGACAGGATCTGGTGCCTTTAGGATATTTATGCTCAGGACTTTGGGTGACCAGAGTTCAAATCCTCACTTGACCATGGAAACTCACTGTGGGACCTTGGGCCAGTCACACTCTTTGAGCCTTAAAGAAAAGGAGTGACAACCCCTCTCTGAACAAATCTTGCCAAGAAAACCTCATTATAAGATTGCCTTAGGATTGCCATAATCAGAAAGGCACAAGAGAATACATATTTGTATATGTAAGCAAAGGGATCTTGTAGCACCTTTGAGACTAACTGAAAGAGAGAAGTCGGTAGCATGAGCTTTAGCGGGGGTTTCCCAGCTTGGGGTGCCTACATTCTCAGATGCATGTGTTTCACCATACACCTTCAGTTCTATACATATTCATTTGATGGTAAGTCACATTACCAAATGTGTGAGAGAGGCAGTGTGGTGCAGAGCTTTGAGTATAGGACTACAACTCTGAAGACCTGAGTTCGATTCCCAGCTCAGCCATGAAACCCATTGGGTGACCTTGTGCAAGTCATACTCTCTCAGCCTCAGGGGAAGGCAATGGCAAACCTCCTCTGAACTAATCTTGCCAAGAAAACTCCATGATAACTTCACCATGAGTTGGAAACAACGTGAAGGCACATAACTACAAAAGTCACACTGAACTTCACAGGAATTTCAGCTGCCTGTGGCCATTTTTCATAGGTTTTGGGAGACGGCTGGCAATTCCTTGATTATGTCCTTTTTGCCATTTGAGAGGTGATTTTGGCCTTCTTGTTAGGGATGGTTAGGGCAGGGGTAGGCAGCCTAAGGCCCGGGGGCCGGATGCGGCCCCCCAAGGGCTTTGGACCGGCCCCACGCCGGTCCTGCCGCCGCTGCCTACCATGATGATATTGATTATTGTTATTATTACTTGTTCTTGGAGTTTTCTTGGAAAAATCTCCACAGGGGTTTCTCCATGGCTTTTCTGGGGCTGAGAGTGTGTGCATGCATATATTTTTTAATTTTATATACCATATATATATATATATATATATATATATATATTTGGTTCTTCGGCCCCCTAATTGTCTGAGGGACAGCAACCCGGCCCCTGGCTCAAAAAGGTTGCCTACTCCTGGGATAGGGAGTCCATCAGGAGGTGAGGGAGGACTGGCAAGCAGCCCAAGGGCTGCAGTTTATTCACCCTTACTTCAAAGTATAGTGATGTTGTGCATGCAGTGAGGAAAGATTAAGGATCTCATCAAAGGAATCTCATGACATAAGGCATTCACAAGTTAGGTTGTTCAGTCAGTTGTACAACTCATAACCCAAACCTTTGTATGTGAGTACTGTGGATATATGCTTTGATATCACATGATAAATACCCCATATTGTCTAATCCAAACCTATGGAGCGTATGGCAGGTTGAGGAAGGCTGATTTAGAGACTACTGTATAATATGTCAACAAACCTATTAGCATTTGCGTCTGAGTTTGATTCCTGACAGCAATAACAGAGGAGCCCTGTTTCATTGTGATATGATAGTATACAGTCAGTGCCTGGCAGTCTGTGCAGGAGATCTAGTTTCAAATCTTTACCAAGCCATGAAGCCTGAGCTATGTTGGAGAGAAACATCTCTAATATACACAGGAATGTAGTAAGATTAGTGAGATAAAAATATTTCTTTGTACACTGAAAGGTGCTAAGAAAAGGGTAGACAATACAGGTCCTTTGACAAGGGAAATGCAAAACGACATCATTTTGTGACATGATTTCAGGTGCAACTTCTGTCTTTTGTTTAAAGTCCCATTGGAATAAAAGTTGCTTTTTACCCTTGTTATTCATACAAAATATTCCATTAGGAAAGAAAAAGATGCTGGCTTATCCATGTGCCTATTTAAAAAGCTTAAGATTCTGGGTTTCATCTAGGTTTTCTTGATGATGACTGTGCCACAATTGTAAGCAAGATGCTTTCAATAAATGTGGAACTGGATATTTTGCTCTAAAACAATGCATTTCTTGGAATCTCAGCTTTCATTTAAAACTAAACTGAAACATCTTGGTCTTGCAGCTTTGGTAACGTGTGTTTCTTTGTCAGATGTTGTATTTTACATGCATCCCTAGTGCATATTTGTTGTTCGCTGTTGTGTACCTTCAAGTTGTTTTTAACTTATGGGTACATATATGTGCATACAAAATCAATCTGGTCTAGCATCTTGTTTCCAGAGTAGCTTGTTGTAGTAGAGGTGATGCTCCACCCACCATCACCCCAAAGCCTTGAAAGGCAACACAGGATTCAGGTGGAGGGAGGCTGCCTTGCTTCACCCAACATCACCCAAAGCCATGAAAGG